CGGGTTTTCTTGCCAACCACTGCCAGTCTTCCTACCAACCATCACTTGAGTTTTTCTACTAACCGTTGCTGGAGCTTTTCCCAACCACTGCCTTATTTTGGTCGATCCATTAATCATCATCAGATTTTTGTTTGTTATTAACTTACTGTAATTCTAGCATCTCCAAGTGAAGGAGCGAATCAAACGTTGTAACCAATCCAGATATAGTGGAAATTTCTTATCTGGGCCAGGCCCCGTGGTTTTTCCCTTTTCGGGTTTTCCACGTAAAAAAGTTTCTGGTGTTTCTCTAACTTAATTATCTGTTGGTGTGCTGGATATACGTATATTGTTAAGACGCTATATTTTTACTCTACCGCTGCGTATATTCTAGTCCGCATCACATATAAAAGAAAAACTCAACAACTATCAAGAATTCAAAAAGAAAGAGCTTTAAATGTCTTTCTTTTTTATTTATAATTAAATTTGATTCGAACACGATCCTCTGTCGACAAGTAGAAAGAATTGACAAGGTTCAATCAACCAAAATATAACAACCCATTAAAACTCCGTTGATAGTCGTGTTGATAGAAAATCTCAACATGATGAGATCACAAACAATTATAATGTCTCTCAAATGCCCATAAAAATTTAAAAAACTAAAATAATCACCTAAGACCAAGATATTTAAAATTAAAATTAATTATCAAATTCTTAAAACAAAAATATTCATCCACCTTCTGCAACAATTTGTCGAGATGTACAAATCTGAAAATTACTTTAGCTCACAAAGAGTTAATGTCTAGTCAAGAATATTAATATGATTCATTCTCAATATATCCTTATCAGTAAGGATGTGGCATCGATCCTTTAACTGGTGGTTCCGCCACCAAATAGCACCACACCGATTGTTTTGCCGCCAAATGCACAACATGTAAACAATTATGACCATGACCCTTTGGCCGGGTGGTTTTGTCACCAAATGACACTATTAAATTATGGTCATTGCCAGAGCACATATGTTCCCCGATGGCATCAAATCATTGAATAATGAATCAACAAAATATAATCGATAAGACACAAAACCCTCTATTAGTTAAAGTGAATTCAAGCGTATCCTCTTAGACAAATATCTACCTCATGTTTATAAGTACCCTTGGATGAAGCAACATATGACTGCCGAAAAGATTCCTCCTGTCAAGTTGGGTTGACTCATCCTCTGACTAAGTAAACCAGGGACCACAATGGCCCGAAACGACGAAATCATGTGATCTTGATCGGGCTCATCATCACTCCCACCACCATCCACTTTAAGTATAAAATGGTGAATTTTTTAATTTTAAATATTAAATTCTCACCCCTAAATCATGATGCTACTATATGCCAAATACCACATTTATTTTGACGACTAGCCTTAATCGAAAGTTCTTTCATTATCAGGAGGGATAATTAACTATAGAGGCTTGCGCCTATAGGAAACAAGAACTCATCATAAAGTCCTCGCAAAATGAGGACGAAATATTTGGATAGTGTCTTAGTTAAAATTAGTCTGCCTTTTTAAAATTTGCCTTAGAACATACTCGTTAAAAATCTCTTCAACGACCCGAAGAACAAAAAAAAGGTATCTGTGCAGAGACCAAGGTGCGAATTTTCAGAGCCCACATCAGGCCTTGCAGCTGCCCCAGTCTGAATCATCTATGTAGCAACAAAAGCTACGTATCTGCTACAGATCATTCTCATATGAATTGAATATTTCACATGATAATTTAGATATTATATCACACGATAATTTAGATATTACAACACATGATCCATCCATACAAATGAAGGTGTTAAAAACTACACCTACATACAAACGACCATTTTTACACAATTCATACATTCTTGGCCAAATAATTATTACTAGTTTGGCTTATAATCCGAACACAAACTCTATTAACATAGAGTTACAAATAAAGCTAGGATTTAGTGGTGTTTTAACACCAATATGCAATTAAAAGTTGAGCTGCAGCAACTGCATCAACGGCCATACTATATCCATGCGCTGGAAGCCTTTAGGAATCTGTTTATTATTACTCGAATACCAAATGTTATATCTCACCAAGACAACAAAAAATATAATTATCCAATATTTTACTAACCTCGATGATGAAATGCGCCCAGAGTTGCTCTAACCGGCTTTCCAAAATGCCCCTCAGTATGGTCAGTCCAAGACGTTTAATTGCCTGCGCTATATCTAGGAAGAGCCCATGGTTCCTACATTGCATCTATGAATCCATTTGCAGGTTTGTCAATATATAAATAAAAGAGGCATATATCCAATTTAATAAATCTGTAAACATTATTACCTCTACAAGCATTTGATCTGGCTGGTCAAGATTCTCAACAACCAGAGGAAATGGCTTCCATGTAGTTCCCACCTTACATGCCCAACTTGCCCCATTTTCGGTCACCTGGGTCCCATGGAAGTTCAAATCCTTCTCTCCAACCTGCATAATTTTTAAATGTGTATCAACCTAACGATATGGACAAATACATCAAACTGTAATTCCAGCAATCAGCAAAAGAATTTCAGTTCAACTAGACGAAGATGTTAACCTAAAAATGTCATTTTCAATTTACATGGCACATTCGGATCAAAAACATTAGCTGACAAGTTCAAAAACTTGATTACAAAATAAAGTAACTCTTATGATGCTTTGCTGCAATTCCTACAAATATCTTTCTTGCAAAGAGTAAAATAAGTATTTCAGTAGTTGATAATCCAAAAACAATGGTTGACTATAATATTATCATATTTAAAAACAATCTGCACAAAGATAAGGCAGTACCTTTGACCTTGTAGATTGGCTCAGCTTATCAGCATGGGTAGGAACACTTTGAAGGAAAATCATGTGCTTTACTGTCTGCTCCAGAAGCGCATCAATGCTGCACTGTATTACACAAACCATGCCTTTAGAACATGCGGGAGGTCGGTAACAAAAAGTTAAAATTTTCTTTTTATTACTCATAATCACCTTTGATGCATTAGGGATCAACTCCCTGAGCTCTCTAATGCGATCTTGAATCAACTGCCTGTCCCGGGGCCTTGGTCTGTGAGGGTCTCTATTTTTCACTTGTCTGTTGCTACCATGTGATTCATCTAAGCAACTTCTCCAAGATCCGCATACAATGTTCTCATGATCTTCATTTTTTAGTGCCATATGAACAGAGCTCCTTTCCGGACAAGTAGTGCAATAGCTTGTACCTTCAGAGTCTGGAATTAATGAGGGCATTTTATGACCAACCAAACCAGAATCTTCAGAATTAGACACATCTTCAGTTTTGCATTGTGTTAAACAAGACTCGCTGCATCTTCCAGATGAACTACAGCGAGATTTACAGCATTCACATGAATCCAATTCCTTGTCGTCTGAAACACTAGCTAGCTCAACCATTGAGATCTGTGCTAAATATTCTGTTCTGTTTTCATCCACGACACAAGGTTCTTCAACCGAGTATACAATTATTTCAGGCACTTCTGCTTTAAAACTAGTAATTAGTTCGCTCCCTACCCCCTCTATTGATAGCATTTCCACCCATGCACTGTTGTTCCAACCCATTAAGCAATTTTGCCCCATTACTTTGTGAAGCCCAGATTCAACAGAAAAGTCTAGATTTCTGCTCTCTGTTGTGGAATTGGTAACTACATCAAACTCATGCGCAAATTTAAGATTGACCTTGTCAAAATCACAAAAATCATCGCACTGCTGAACTTTCATGTAAGCATCAAACATTGTAGGACTTTTCAAAGTCAACCCCTGCCTAATGACTGGAATCGTTTTAACTTCCTCATGATGAGTAGGCAACCGATCACTTTCCATTGTCCGTCCAGAAAGGGTTGATGTATTAAGGATAACCTGCTCCTCTGAATGATCTTGAAAAAGCTCAATGTACATAGCATTCCCACTTATTTCATCTAAACGATCAATACCAAGTCCATGAGCCTGATGAAAACCAACTTGAGTAAATGGATCATAGGATTGAACCATGGGATGAGGTAAACGGACAGATGCCACTTCATCAAAGCAAAGGGTTGCCAAATCAGGCGCCAGAAATGGTTGGGCTTGTATTAGATCAGTCAAGTTAGTGTTTATTTCCAAGCAAGTGGAATATTTCTCTAGAAGAGGTCGGTTCAATGCCATGTAAGATTCGATTTGCCCCATTCTCAGATCAAATGTAGAATTTGAATCTAAAGCGTTCTGATAGGCACAAAAAAATTCCTTGAGTTGAGCCACCATAGTCAAATCTTCGGATAGCTGACGGACACGAAGAATAAACAAAAAAGAAACCGTTAGCATGACACATGAGGCAAAAAACCCGCTGCACTACAGAAAAAGATAATTATCCATGTTAATATCTACAAGAAACAGAAAAGATGGATAGCCTGACAGAATGAATCTGAAGTTGAGTTCTGCAGGTAACATGACGTAAAGAAAACTCGGAAAAACATACCATGCCGCTCATAATATCCGTTGGCTATAATTTATGGATAGCCAAGCAATGTATCATATTTCCCAACGTGCAATTTACTACCTCCAAATCGAGCTAAGACATAGGTAGGTTTAGAGTCATTTATAAAGCTCCCTCCAAAAATAATTTATTAACTTTACAGCACGATCCAAAGTCAGGCAACAAGGAATGTCATGTAGGCACACAATCTTCTTGAGGAATAGTTTGGTTAAATTCAGTCAAATGTTTTCTTCGAAGCTAAAAAATGGACCGCCTTCAAGAAAAATTCAATGACTACCACGATCAAATCCAAATTTCATTTTGTTCATGAAGTGCACCACATAAAACCAATACTAAGATCATCCTATATTGAATTGGGTATGGGAAGAGGCGAGTATAGCCTTCAATTCTGATCGACCCCTTTAAACTGTTGGCAAACAATGCATTTTTCTATAAATTGATCGTCACCCCTTCGTAATTTTGGCTAGAATAACCTAGATTTCACTAGTTGTATGGTCTTGATATGAGTCGTGAAACCACTACTATGGCATTATTTAATTATCTGTCGTCAGAGAAGTATTTGGAATGCACAATTGGTTCCCCTTTAAGAGACACCCTTGTTGAATGAAAAAAACATCCCAACAAATAATAGTGAGTGCAGTTAGCTCATAGCAAAGTAAAGTTCATGTTAGAGTTTCCATCCCGATGATCGTTCTCTATGTTGACCTATGTGAAAAAGAACAAAAATGGAAATCAGATTAACCTCGTATCCGTCGAATCCAGCAAATCCCGCGCGTCTCAGTCCACAAATCCCGCAAGAAATCCTGTCGATTCGGCGCTGTTTGAGTCGCATCCCGCGATTTGAGCGTAGAACCGGCCTCGATCGCTGCTCTTCGACACCTTTAAAAGCCGACTGAACGAAGCCATCGTGATTCCATTCGCTACCTTGTTGTCCCGTCGCTCTCCGCTCTCTGCTTCCTCTCTCGACTCCAAGCCACGGCTGCTTCTCCGAATTCCACTCCAGCAAACCGACACCTCCTCCGACCTCACCCAGGCGAACTCGCCTCCTCCCGTCGAGCCCGATCCCGACACCGAGAGAGAGAGAGAGAGAGAGAGAGAGAGAGAGAGGAAGTGAGTGAGAAAACCTACCTTCCTTCTTCCTCCCATAGCCGAACC